AATGAAAAATTGATATAAGTATAGCATTAATATGAGGTAGTATAAAATTAACGATAAGAAAGACAGAGATAGAGGGTGAGAGAGAGAGAGAGAGAGAGAGAGAGAAGACAAACTTTTCACACCAATGAACCAGGGGTGATTGCTGATATTCATGGGAATCTATTTTCGACACGGAAAATAAATAAAAGGTATGCTTAATTAATGAAACGTTAATTTATATATTACAATCGAAATTTTCCGGTATATATATATATATGAATTGTTGCCGTATATTGTTTATGTAACAGTGTCTTTGACTATTTAAAATACCTTGTATAGTATATTTTAGTATAGAAAACAAAAAAAAAAAAAAAAAAAAAAGGTATACTTTTTTTTTTAATTTAATTTTGTTTTAGCGGAATTCAAGAAATAAGAAATCTAATAAGATATTAAATTATGCAAATAATTTAATTGACCAATTGTAATAATATTATTATTATTATTATTAATAGAGACACAACCAATAATTGTCGTTGGAGAAAGTCTATTGTACTTATGTTAGGTTAAACAATTTCTTACTTTAAATTTATGTAAAATACACCGAGTACATTAACATATTAAAACATCTACATAAAGTGCTTCATGAATGTAGTGTTTTAATGTTTTCAAGGAATTTTATACTTTTTACTGCATGGCTCACCAATATTCCTGCACTTTTTTTTTTTCTTTTTTTTCTTTTTCTTTTTTTTTTGCTACTTTGTGCTACATTAATATACCTAAGCCTCGCTCCGATTATCGTTCCTCAGAAAAAAATTGATGTCCTCTATGTTTTGTGACACGAGAAATAATATCGAGTGAAACATTCAGATTTGTTATCGAATATAATATATATTTTAGTCATTGAAATTAAACTTACAAAATTTCAGTAATAATGTTTGTTTAAAGGATAATTCCTCGGTATCTTGTAATCTTGAAAAATGAGACACGATTGCCATTAATACGATTTCATAGACTTTCAAAACTAATCATCTTTATAAGCAATAAATTTATCTTATTTTATACATAAATTTTATATGCTTTATACATAAATCTTTATATATCAATAATACAATTTTAACGGCACATTACAAGTTTTAATCATATTTATAAAAAAAAAAGAAAAAGAAAAGAACTAAACACACAACAATCATAAAATATTAAAATATCTGAAATTTTACATTCGCTTATACACTGCTTAGACGTACTTTCTTTAGTTTATGAGGTAATTATAGTTTAGACAAAATCATGCATTTTGTTTTGCTTGGCTTAGTACTTCGAAGAAAAAGTTTTGCTCTGCAATAATCAGTAGGCTATAGACATTTTGAGAAATTTAGAGCGAAACATAAGAAAAATTGTGAAGTAATAGAAGACTAATTAAGGAAAAGGAACGACAATTCTATAAGAATATTGAATAGGCGTTAAATTTTATGTCGGTCGAATAATAATGATAATTACTTAAATATGGAAAATATAATACGGTCTTCAATTCATTTGATGTTTAAATATTTTTTACTATTCAAAGAACCAAAATATTATATTTCATAATTTAAATGTATTCTATTGAGATTTTATGTGATTTTATGTCACAAAGTTCTGTAAACGTTGACAGTTGATTAGTATAATTCATGTCATAAGATTGCATACATCAATTTTACAATTCCTTTATAATAATTATTATCATCATTATTATAATTATTATAATCATTATTATTATATTTATAATTATTATCAATGTATAAGATTTCATAAATCGAATATATTTTTGATTTAAATTTTTACTTTATGGCTTTGTGAATTATGACTTGAAATTTAATTTAAAATAAGCTTCTGTTAATATTATTATGACAACGACTTTTAAGGGAACCGATTTATTCCCAACGGCATTAAGAAACTGCATTACACTATTAGGAAAGAGAGAAGTCTTTTTTAAGATAATAGGAACTCTAATGGATGAATATTTTGTAATTGTCATAATATTTCATTGTATTATAGAGACAAAATAATCACTATTTTCTCTATTGGTAATATTACGCAATCGTAGCTCATACAAATAATTGGCAGGTTAAGGGCATTATTTTAGATTTTTAAACTTATAAATTTACTTTATTTACAACGACGTTTGATAATACAGTGTACATTATGTATAATTATGCTGTATAAATAATTTATCAAAGAAAAAAAGAATTTAAAAAATTTATCTCCAAGTGGAGAATCGACAAATTGTTGCAATTACAAACAAATTTTGTTAACACACAACCAATCTAAATTTAATCGAATCGTCTAATCTTATAAATTTATAAAGTAGATGCACGTGAACAATGCAAAGCCGAATTCCTCACCAAGATGTTAAATTATTGTAATCTAAGTGATTTGTAAGCCGAGCTTATAATTTATATACATAACGGTTAAAATTATGCCAGCAGTGACTAAAAAACTTATGAAAGAAAGAAACTTAAAAGAATCTGTGCATCAGAAATGGACAAACTACGTAATTGCTTACCGACATTTCATTTCTTCGCTAATCTTGTAAAATTTTCTCCACGTATTAAAACTTTCCTATATGGATTCAAGTTGTAATCTCCATTGGAAATATTCTCCTCCATAGTAAACTAATAATAATTTATGATTTATTGCATTTATATATTGCTAGGTTATATATTAATAACTTGCACCTTTCCTGTAAATTTCAAAATCTTTTAGACGCGTAATATGCGAGAGAAAAAAAATCCAATTGTAATAGTACTATTACACAGTGTAAAGTTATAATATAGATAATGACGGGAATTGTTAAGAAGGCTTAAAGTTTATACTTTAAAAAATAATAAGTTAAATATAGGATATTTTGTTCTTTTATAATTATAACGATAACGAGAATGAAGAACGAATATTAATTTTAAAAGCGAAAAATTACAAAGGAAGCACCTGACAGTCCCGTTTCTTTCATGAGCCATAATCACTAATTGCGGACTAGAATTATAAAAACTTGTCAAGTGTGTCTTCTGATGAATAAAAGTAGTATGAGTTCAACGTCACTATACAGCATACCTTCTGTCCTGCATACCATTGTTTAATAATTTTCAAGTTAATCACGGATTATATAAGAAATATAATTATTAAAACAGATTTGAAAGCCTTGATATTGTGAATTTATCGATGAAGCAAATTTTTGTTTGAAACAAATTTTAAGCAAAACAATTTCCAATTTCATTTATCATTTTTATTTCTAATATGCTCTAGATGAATGACAGAGATTATTTTTTTTTTTTTTTTTTTTTTTTTTTTTTTTTTTTATGAATTTACATACTTTTTATGAATTTACATACTTTTTATTAAACAATGTGGACAAATTATATTATTAGATCAACGTCTTATAAATTTGAACGAAATTAGAATTATATTTTCATAAAAATGGCTAAGACTTGCTTAATTCTGATAATAGATCAATGAAAATTAATAAAAATAAATAGAGTGTCGAATAAAAAATAGTGCTAGTAATAAGAAAATTATATTGTAGAGAAAATAGTTTTCATGAAATGAGATAAACCGAGAAAGAAAATAAAGAAGTATGTAGTAAGGATCTACTTTATGTGACCGGACGAGTTTATTTCCTACAATATATTAAATTGAGTACAATTTTTAATTAGTTTTGAAAATATATTTACAACCGAATGAATTGAAAGTAGAGAAAATACTTGTTTCTGAAAATGAGCAATTAAAGACGCTAATTTAACTTAAATGGATGGTTACGAGCAAGTTTTATCGATGTCCGCTCATAAACTTCATTCTATTATCTATTTTATCAATCATAGACCTTTTAATCGTCCCGTACGATTAATTTTTATATATATACATATGTTTATTGTAAATTAGTTGTTAATTTGAAGATCTGAATTCATGTTGTAGTGTAATAAAGAACACGGTTCGTTATTTTGTATATAAAATATATTATGGAGTTATATTTACATGGAGAATTGCCATTTATCATAGTTTCGCTACCTTTCTAAAAACAGATGGTCAGGATTTATTAATTATTAAGCTAATGGTTAAGTTGGCGATGAAAATTCTTCAAGACAAACTACCCAATGGCATAATTAACGATCAATTTGTGATTAATTTTCATATTTCACGATGATTATCATTATTTATGTAATAATGAAAAGAAGAGAAAAAAAAAAGTATAATGAAGCTCAGGTCAGTTATGCAATGGCAATGATCATGTATGAAAATAATTAAGTCTCTGTGCAGACGATTAATTTGATTTTATTCCCATCGTACACTTGAACACGATGTTAGATATTACAATATTAAATTAATATACTGAAAATTTAGAATATTATAAATGGAACGGAGCCAAGCAGCAGGAGTTTAAAAAATTCTATACTTATGTTAATAAGAACGTAGAAACTGGCAATAAAAACCAAATAATTTACAAGATTAAAAATCTCAAACTGAATTGTCATTCTTTCTTTAATTTACAAGCTAGCTTTTACCCTCGTGAAGATTTTTTTGTTTTTTGCTTTTAGTTTTGTTGATTTGTACTCTTTTTACAAATGCAAGCGTTATCGATGCACGGCATGCAGAATACCCATCGACAAAATGGCCGGCAATTTTACTTATTACAAGAAATTATTTTCGCAATATAATAATACGTGGTGGGGATTGGCGTAACTGTCAAAGCGCGACTTAAGCTTACAAAAACAAACGTTTAATATTAATAGTCATATTGACATGTACGAGGGAGCTAAGCCAAGGCAAAAAATAATATAAATAAGCGCAAACGCCCTGGTCCTCCAGACGTTGGATGAGATGACAAGCAAAATGATGGGGGCACGCTTAAAAAGCCAGCTAGAAACGGGAGAGGATGATAAACTCGGGCCGAAGCGAGCATGACGACGATCACGTGAAAGGGCAAGGAAGCGGGGAGTGGATGTAGCTCGCCATAAATTCATCAATCCAATGAAAAATCGCGCGCGCTGACTCACGTCTCGTCGAGATACGCGGCCGCGCTGAGATTAGCGAGAGAGGGAGAGGTAGAGGTAGAGGTAGAGGTAGAGGTAGAGGTAGAGGTAGAGGTAGAGGTAGAGGTAGAGGTAGAGGTAGAGGTAGAGGTAGAGGTAGAGGTAGAGGTAGAGGTAGAGGTAGAGGTAGAGGTAGAGGTAGAGGTAGAGGTAGAGGTAGAGGTAGAGGTAGAGGTAGAGGTAGAGGTAGAGGTAGAGGTAGAGGTAGAGGTAGAGGTAGAGGTAGAGGTAGAGGTAGAGGTAGAGGTAGAGGTAGAGGTAGAGGTAGATAGAGATACATACATAGATAGATAAATAGATAGATAGATAGATAGATAGATAGATAGATAGACAGATAGATAGATAGAGATAGAGAGAGAGAGAGAGAGAGAGAGAGAGAGTGAGAGAGAGAGAGAGAGAGCCTTTGATGGAAGAAGCCCTTAATTCCCGTTCACGTAATGGCCAAGCCGAAGCGAGTTGGCAGCGGATTTTCACGCGCCTCTCAACTCAACATCATTCTCGGCCACGTCACGTGCAGCGGCGCGACCGGAAGCTCGCCCACGTTGTCCTGTCGTTGTCAATACTCGCATTATGTGGCTGCGCTGTGTTTACACCTACATTGTACGTGTACAGTCGCTTATTACGGAGCAGAGCGGCAGTTCCTTTGCACCGCGTCGTAATGAATAAGTCACCGAGCGTCGACAACGAGCCTGACAACGCTCAACAAGAAAAAAAAGGTGGAATACTACCGGGCCGATGATGGAATAGTAGCACTGGCTTCCGTATAATAAGAGACACGTAAGGTCGGTCGGCGTGTGCGTGTGCGTACGAGCGTGCATGTGTAGTGCGGTGCGGTGCGGTGCGGTGTGGTATGGCCTAGCGTGGCGTGATGGCGCAGCTTGGCGTTGCGTTGCGTTGCGTTGCGTTGCGTTGCGTTGCGTTGCATTGCGTTGCGTTGCGTTGCGTTGCGTTACTTTGCGTGGCGTGGCGTGGCGTGGCGTGGCGTGGTGTGGCGTGGCATGGCGTGGCGTGGCGTGGCGTGGCGTGGCGTGGCGTGGCGTTGCGGTAGTGCGACGACACGGGGGTGCGACGACGCGGGGTTGTCGCGGTGCCTGGAGGGTCGAGGGTCGAGGAATAGGGGGGAGGAGGAGTAGGAGGAGGAGGAGGAGGAGGAGGAAGTCGATGCTTGTGGTGGTGGCGAGAACGCTTTAACGATCGGCAACAGCTTAAACGCGTGACATTTGCGGAATGCAGCTAGATGTGCAATGCTAAATAATTATATTTTATAAGGGCGGTAAATACTATTTGCCAATCATCGATTATTATGCAATTGTTGTCGACAATTGGATTGGTCGAATGTGGCTATCGAGTCGATTTTAATGGCTTTTAAAGACGCGGCTCTTTTATTGATTACGTGTTGAGATGTGCAAATGGGCGCCGCAGCAAGAGGAGAGTAATTTACATACGGAAATGCGATACACTGAGAGGAAACGGTAGCACATTATGATTGAATGTAAAGAAAGCATGTGAATTTTATTAATTTGAAGATGAACATAATCACAAGCGATAAAATTGAAATTTTCTTTATTTGTTATTTATTTTATTTATAATGGTGGCTGAAAAATAGCCTTGTTTAATAAATAGTCAAGCCACAAGACAACGAGTACGTAATAATTGTATATTTGACTGATTAGATGCCTATTTCTATTCGTTGCATACTAATGTAATTAAAAGTTAGGCAGTTAAGGCAATGTAATGAAGGTAGTTAACAACATTTTAACTTGCAAATTAAAGAGCGCCCATTGTATTTAAATAATTGCATTCTTTTCTGAAATTAACAACTAAAGATTGTTATAAAAGGCATATTTTACAGCGTTTGGGCTAAGATCTTGGAAAATGATGATTAAAGTCGCGTAGCTTGAGAAGCGAATATAAGTTTAGAGATGTAGGTGCACGAATAGAAAGTAAAAACTTATCATACGGTTAATATAAATAATGGCTTGCATTTAGTAAAACGAAATAAATTAAATAATTAAATTAAGCAAACAAGGAGGCCAACAAGAGACTAAGCAACATAATAAAACCAAAAATACTATTTATACGAAGGTGATACATGCGAATAATGTTATTTTAGACGCCGAAAAGAAACAAAATATCTCGTTTTATCATTAAACTTACTAATTAAAGAATTTTAATAATCTTAAAATTAATCGTTTCAATCTCATAGTAATTCAATTAAAATCTTCATCATTAAAGCAAAGGCGTGATGTACATACGGGATTGACAGAGGATGCCATGTACATTAAGTAAATTACCAATTGACCAATTTTAGTGAAATAAATAATTACAAACCAATAAATATATAATGGCCCTCGTTATTTAAGAAATGATTCCCAAATTTAATAACACTACTGTGCGAATCTTGAAAGAAGATTGTTATATTTTTCTTTATAAACTCCTCGAATGTCGCCGTTCGCAAATATTAACAGAAAAAACACAAAATAAACAAAAAAAAAAAAATGTACATAACATATTCTCGGTATGAAATATCTGCTAATTGACGATGCAGCCGTAAATCTGTATAATGGCATTCTCTTTGCTAGATTATTCAGGAAGAGTCGACGAGGTAAGAAAGATAGCCAATCGCGAATATAACTTAAATCCTGCTGGAAGGATGATAATGTTTCGCTTCGACAGGAAACGCGATACGCGCAGCCTCTCGTACCTACGGATTCTCTCCCATGACTCATCGAATTGAGAAAATCCTTATTAACTGCAAACGACAAAGGACAAATGCGTCAGCGAGCATTTATCGTTCACCTCGATCGCCACTGCTGAATCAATAGGATAGAACTTGGCCGCCGGTGTTTCCCGGATCCTCACGCATTAACCTTCCTCGAAGCTCCGAGTAGCGATCGCGCGACTCAACCTGGAGACGGCTCACCAACCTCTCCCAAGCTCCTGCAAAAACGGCCAAGTGCAAAAAGTGCCACATCGTCGAAGCTCGATGCGTGACTTATGCGTCGCCACGTGTCTCGGCCGGCTGCCTCCAAATTGCCCTCAAATTATTGGTGAGCATTGTTTGAGCCGTCATACGGCACCCATTACGTGCCACCGCCGTCTCTCTCTCTCTCTCTCTCTCTCTCTCTCTCTCTCTCTCTCTCTATATATATATATATA